TGTGAGAAGACTGGCCACATGCTTACTGATGATATTCACAACTGATCTAGCGAACACCCAAAGGAGGCTGTACTTTCTTCCTCAAGATTCTCAGAATGACTCAGAGGGCAGACTGGAATTTCTTCGACTGTGAAGTACAACAGAGCGCTATGAGGTAATCTGGCCTGCTTCTGATCTCCAAGTAGTTATGTGTCACACTATCTTAGAAAAGGCTTTCTCCTCCACCATGGGGGGTCCAGGAGGCAATGTTGCTTATTGGGACTGTCATATTCATTGCAGACTAATAAAACCTTCTCCCTTCTGCAGTGCTCCTCAGACCAATGACATTCAGTCTCTGCTCATCACATGTAGCTACTGTGGACATGCTGTGGTACAGATTCTCTTGCTCTGGTTTACCCACTCACTCCATCCTCTTCCATCTCCTTCCTGAGCGCTTTGATCACACATAACTATTCTGTGAACTTGCTCTTCACAGCCATAGCACTGAGCTCTAATTATCCTGATGCCTTTGAAGTGACTGTGCTTGAAGAAAACTTTAAACACAATTGGGTAATCTCTAGGGCCATGTTACTTTCTGAACAGTGAGAACAGTAACTTTATGCTGTAAATGAAGGATAAAGGTGGTGTATAAGTATACACTGAATCAAAGCAATCTCAAATTTTCTTTTGGAGAAGACTTATGTGTCGACTTGCCAGGTGATGCTACAAGAGAGAAGTATCATTTCTAAACAGTTCTACATTTCAAGAGTGAAAATAAAGTCCCACTAACTAACTGTTCTTAATCTGGAATGTGTCCGGACCCAAATCAAACCAATCACATCAGGAAATCACGATATGACATACCCTGAAAACCCACAAGCTTTTGAGATTTTCATAGCTCATTTCATGACAGCATATCTGGTGTTGTGGACTGCAATCTCCAGCTCATTCACATCTTACTCAACAACACCTAACTCTTTTAGGCCAACTCTAGTTCTTCGGACCCCACAATGTGAGTCGTGCTACTACTGTCATCACTGTCTCCAACATGTCTTCCACATTCCTTCCTCTTCTGGCTTTAACTACTACATCTAGCCAGGAGATCAGGAGAAAGGGAAAAACCAACCAAGGGCTCAGAATTTTACTTCACTTTAGATCTCTTCAAATTCTTGGTAGACTGTGAATTTCAACCAAACTACTAAAGCCTAACCAGAGGATCTGTTAAAGAAGAAGGGAGTAGAGACACTAACAACAAGCTGATTCTAAAGTGAAGGGGCATCAAAAAATTCAGTTTGGGGGGAGTATGTCTTCTAGACATTTCTACACCAATGCATGTGGGGTCAGCATTTATTTTGTTTTGTTTTGGTACATATATAACTGGTTTATTGAAGAAGAATGAGAATTTTGAAAACATGCCCCTCAAGGAAGACAAACAGAAAAGACTTGGAAGAAATATTAGGATTCAATCTCAGGAAAAAGCTGTATCTTTTCCATGAAGGAATCTCTAGGAATATGGTAATTCTAGAGGTGATAATTATGATAATGAAATGTCACAAAAGAGAAGAGGCACCTTCAGCTACATTTAATGGAAGAGGCAAAATACTCAGGTAAAAACCTGAATTTAAACCCTGGTTCTGCAAGCATTAGGCTATACCAGGTAAACTATTCTCTCTGAAGTTCAAATGCCTCATTCTGTATAGTAGGAATTATGATACTAACCAGGACTTTCTAGAGTAAAGGAGAGAATATATATATGACAATGCCTGTAAATTATAAGTACATCAAAAGTATCATACTATAAATCTGAGGATAAACAGCACACTTATTATTCCTGAATTCTATCCCTAGCTCTAACCTCTGGTTGGGGCTGTAGTCCCATACCCACTTGCCTCCTTCACTTAAGAATCTAACAAACATCTTGAGGCTAGAGAGATAGCTCAGTGGTTAAGAGCACTGATTGCTCCCGCAAAGGACCTGGGTTCTATTCCCAGCACCCACAATGGCAGCTAACAACCGTCCATAACTCCAGTTCCAGAGGATCCAACGCCCTCTCCTGATCTTCACAGGCACTACACAACATGGGTGCACTTACACACATGCAGGTAATACACTCATACACATAAAAAATAAATGTAATACATAATTTATAAAATCATGTGCACTTATTTGCTAAAAATTATGCTTAAAATAAATAAAATTTGGGGCTGGAGAGATGGCTCAGTGGTTAAGAGCACTGGCTGCTCTTGCAGAGGACCAGGGTTTCATTCCCAGCACCCACATGGGTGCTAACAACTGTCTGTAACTCCAGTTCCACAGGAATCCGAGGCCCTCTCTGACCTCCACAGGCATGGCATGACACACGTGCACCTGCCTACATGCAGGCAACACACTCATACACAAAGAATAAAAACAATAAATAAAATCTCATCTTCAGTCCTATGTCGCCTCTTCTATTCTGCTAAAGCTTGCACTACTCATTTCTCTTATTTGTTTGCTTCCTTTTGTCTCCTAAGTAAGATTTTCAGTAACTGATAAAACTGTAGGAAGGGACTATCATGGGACCGTGAACTAATCAGAAGGTTTATACCCCTGGATTAAAAGCCATCTGGAAAAGGAGAACTAAGAAGACAAACTCCTCACTTGAAGTGAAAGATCAACTACCCTGGGAAGACTTCCTCCAGTTCCATAGAGGAACATGTGTGTCAGAGGCTCTAAGATCTCTAAATTCACGGTTTCAGATGACTGTACACTAGAAAGCACTTTTGTCAATGAACATTTACCCTATCATGGTACAATTTGGAAAAATATCACACCACAAAGTCTTCTTGACCTTCTACTTAGAGGCTTACGGTTATCAGAGCTTACTGACTGGGTGGGTTCATCATAAAACACTGCTCGGTCCACACACATTTATGGACTCAGTGTTCTGGGCACAAAATGAGGACAACCAGCACATCAAGAGGAGAGAATCTCGGGGCTGGAGAGATGGCTCAATGGTTAAGAGTACATACAGCTCTTACAGAGGGCTCAAGTTCAGTTCCCAGCGCCCATAGCCACCTGTAACTCAAGCTCCAGAGAGATTTGACACCTTTGACCTCCATAGACACCTGCCCTACTCTCTCTCTCTCTCTCAATAATAAAATAATCATAAAATCTTATTGAAGATAGCTTCAACTCATTCTCCCGTTTACTCAGATACCCAGTCACATCAAGAACCTAGCCAGTGTCTGCTGCCAGGAAGGCTTATCTGGCACATGGAGACTAGAAGGACAAGGTCTCTGCTCTTAGCAAGTTTAGTTGCATTAGAACTAGGGATAATTGCAGAACACTTAGTCTCCAGCTCTTTGAGCAATTATTCTACTAGAATAAAGACAAGGACTTGGACGTCTGAAGTTTGTACACTGATGTAGAATGAGATAGTCTCTCATGGTGTGAATTCTTGTTAGGAATACTGACATTCTTCTAAGATGTCAAATTTTGTTCTTGTCTAGATAATGAGTTAAGAGACCACAAACAAGGTTACAGTCACCTCAAAACGGCTCAGAAGCACATCTCAGAAACCTTAAGACTGAGCGCAAAGGAGAAAGAGCTTCAAGTACAGAAAACATGAGAACCTTAAAGATACTTTAAATAACACTGAGAACATTAAGAATTAGCATCTAAGGGAACTGTGAATTAGAGGTGTCAGGTTCAGGTTAACAGATGAGCACATTCTTTAAAATACTGATGGAATAATTTTGCTCTGTCAACTGAACTAAAAACGGTTTTGAAGAAATAGTATCTTAGTCTGAGACAGTTTGGGAGAATGACAACTAAGGCTAGATTTATGTGACCAAACTGAAATATTTGATATACACTTGCTTGACAAAAGAAAAAGTAGAATCAGCAAGAACATATCATGCAATTATCTTCAAACCAAAACATTAACAAGAAGATATGACATTAATTTATAATTCATAAGCAATGATGTGAGTCATTGGTAAGAGTCAAGGTTGAAAGAGTTACACGTCGGAACGGTGCCAAAGGAAAAGCCGCAGCTGTGCTAACTGCTAGAGTCAGGGTGGCTCCAGGGTCAAGCTGCCCAGGCTCACAAATCAATTCTGCTCCAAATTGTGTGACCTTGGGAAGGTGATTACACTCGCTATATCTGTTTCCTTATTTGCAAAATGTGGACAAAACTAACAGTGTCTATTCCCAAGGCTATGGGAGGCTCCAGTGGGGTAGGATATGTAAAGTGCCAAGACAATGCCAGGCAGGTAGTGCTACAGAAGTGTGCACACTGCCACCCTCCAAGCTAAGTGAGAGACTCAAAGTCCAACCCCAGGACAAGCTTTCAACTGTTACAAAACCACACTGAAAATGAATTATCAGTAGTGACAGCATATATGGCATGTTGCTTACAGAAAATCAATACAAACCACACATGGATGAAAACCCGAACAGTGACTCTCAGGAAACAGTCAGAAAAGAGGCTCACAATAGGTTAAGATGCCAGGGACAGGCCACAGCACAGTGGACAAAGGTACTGCACTGGGGTCAGGAGACTTGGCCTCTAGTAGCAGCTCAGAAGCCAACTGACTGTGTACTCCTGACCAGCTGCTGAGAATGCAGGCTCTGAACTCCAGTTGTTAAATAAAGGGATATATAATTCCGAGGTGCCTTCTCAAGCTCAGGTCCTACAATCCAACAGAGCATCACATGGTTTAAAACTACACTTCCATAAGAAGGCAAGTATTACTATTATTGTTGTGTGTGCTCAACAGCGATGATATCTAGATCTAGAATTCTGGGCACTAATGAAAAAACAGACTAGACAAACAATTTTAACATACATACTTTTAAGTGCCATTAAAGAGGAGAATTTGAGTAAGAAAACTAGTCATTTGGTACTAATGTAATAATTGTCAAGTACATAAAAAGTGTAGTAGGGGAAGCTTTAATACTGTCTAGGTAATCATTAAGGTTTATCAACTCTTTGGCATACCCAGTTTTATAAACTAACCGAGGAATGACATGGTTACCTTTCTGCCCGTGACGACTGCTGAATTTGTCTCCAATCTCTGGCCGCCGTGTCTGTCTCAAGAGCATCTTGATGAGAAAAGCATCCTCAGCATTGGAAGAGATCATCACCTTTTCAATATAGGAATCTGTTGCACCTTTGTACCTAAGGTTAAGAGGAAATTACTAAAAGGTTTCCAAACTGCCCTGTGTGAACTTACCACCTGTGTAATATATGCAATGTAATCTACCACAAAATGTTTTTGACGTTCTCATCTTGTGCTAAAAAATGACTTTTGTTTTTAACACTAAATTCAAATTTTACAATTTCCCTTTTATTACTGTGAGGCAGACACAGCTTAATTTAATCCTCCCAACAATCTTGTAGTTATTACCATATTATAGATGAAATTAACAGATGCTTTAAGAGATGACATAATTTGTACAAGGCCACCATGTAGTCAAGCTGAGATTCTGAGTTCTATTTTTTTTTTTAATTTTTTTTATTTTTACACCCACTTCCCAGACAGCACCTTCCCATAGCCTCCCTCCCCCCACTAGAGCCTTTATACTCTGATATCCCTGCTACTGTCTGCTGTGTTGTTGGCATCCCCACCCATTCCCCACTACTTGCCCAATTGGGTTAATTTAAGGGGAGTGGGGAAGGGTATCCAAGGAACCTAGGGGATAAAGGGAAAGAAGGAGCTCAAGAGAGGTAGGACCACAGGAGAAGGGTATTAGTAAGAGAGAAAGGGGGGAAGTGGGGGCACCTTAAGTAGGAAAACCATGATGGAGGGGTGAGACAATGCGAGAGATAAACAATGCCTAGCTACTTTTGAGAACCAGAGGAAACCATATTACTCCTACAACGCACTGACAAATTATACATAGCGGATCAAGAAATATATGTCTAGGTAAGGTTTATCTGAGAACTGGTCTTTGCCCAAGATTTATATACATGACACACAGTAATTAAAAATAACCAGACTGGTGGAACTAACCTTCTTGGGTGTTTAACAGACATACTTTGAGGCCTATACTAATTTGGTCAGAGGGACATAAAAGACACTTTTTGCTCAATACTTTGGTCAGAGAGACATAAAGGACACCTTTTGCTCCTTGCCCTCCTAGGTCGACTAGTTCCAGGGGACTCTGAGTATCTCTCAAAATGTTCTATAATGGTGGTGGGTCACCTGTCCTCTTGATCAAGGAGGCCAAGCAGACCCCACCAGATGGACTTGAACCAGTGTCCAGTCTATAAAGAAGAAGGTCAACACAGAGGAATCATTTCCTATATGCTTCCAAGCGAAGCCAACCATGGTGGAGCAGGACCTTTGACTTATCTTCACATAGGCGGAACTGGTAAAAGAAAGGAGCCAGGGGCTCCTTCCAAGCCCTGAGTTCTATTTTTTTTTAAAAATATTTTTTTTATTATTTTAATTTTATGTCTATGAGTATATTGCCTGCATGTGTATAAGTGCACCCATGTTATACAATACCTGCAGAGCTCAGAAGAGAGCGTCTGGTTCCCCTAGAGCTGGAGTTAAAAACAGTTGCTAATGTTGAGCCAAATCTCCAATCCCCAACTCTTGAGTTCTTTTGCAAGAATCCTTTAACCACTTTACCTTTTACATTATAACCTTTTCCCACACACCTTGCCTCTTAAGTAATTTTTAAACAACAGACATTATGAAGCGTGTACTAAGGTGTTAGATCCTGTGTAAAAGGGGCGTGAATAAGGAGGACGGGGAGAGTAGTCAAGATGTCAGTGACAGGGAAACTAAAGCCCATTCTATCAACTGCTAGGGGCTAGGATGGCAGTGGTGGCAGAGAGGCAAGACTAGAGTGAGACCTAACCAGGCAAAGGGAGCAGCCCCAGCAGAGCAAGAAGCCCAAAGGTGGATGGTACATTTTGGAGAGAGTAAAAGCCCACTCCTCGAAACATGGGCCTAGTGTGTATACAAGGTGAAGCCAAGAGGCATGCTGGGAATGTTAAGAATTGTGGGTGGTCTCAGAAGCCCAACCTAACCCACAAGCAACCCTGCCTTTAAAATGTTACTCTATTTTCTCAATAGTCACATGACCAGAAGAGAAATTTAGGGAAAATGAACCATGTAGGCACTCTTAACAGCACACGAAGGGGTAGAGAGATACTAGCTCAGAGCCAGGTGAACAGTTAATAGTGACTAACAGCCCATTCATCAGAACTCAACACCAACAAGGAGGGGAGAAAACCTACAGGAGGTACTGAATTGGTACCTATGGCAGCTGAAGGGAAGGTGCAGGGTTTGTGTTGCTCGTGATAAAAGGAGATGAATTGGGGAAGGTGGTGACACAGTATTGTGTGGGGCTGGCACTGGGCAGCTGTCTCTCCGGGAATCACTAGTGAAAAGCTGCTAGCAAGGGCTAGATTTCTGTGAGGGAGCATATCCAGAGAAGAGATAAGAGTTACTGGTCAGGACAAGGTTGCCACGAGGCCACAAAGGAAGGGAGGCTGCAAATGAAAACTCAGACTAGCAGGAGGGTCAGGTGAGAGTGGTGTGAAAAAAAAAAATCAAGGGGAAAAAAGTCTTTTAGTGGTACCAAATGTTATAGAAATGTCATGTGCAATTTACACATTCTCTGCACTATGCCAGCCACTCGGGCCACAGGGTGACAGGAGACAAAGCCTCAGCACAAGACTAGCATGGGAGAATCCACTGAGTCTGGTGGATCTGCCCAGCACTGGACCTGCTTGCTTATCTGTTTATGCTCTTTCCTTGCACAGGGTTACAAACTCTACGCGCAGGGGCTGCTGCGGGTTTGCTCACTACACTGTTCCCTGTAACTAGAATATCTCCTGGCATAGTGTTAGTGCTCAAAAAACATTTCTTGAGTGAAAGAAGCACAGGGTATCTTTGGGTACCTCTTTAAGAGCTGTTGCAGTGGGGTGGAGAGGCAGGGGGCTGGTTCAGAAAGCAGGGGATGGAAAGCAGAGAAGTAGAAACAGGAATAACCCCAGAAAGGGAGAGGAACAGAATGGTCGTTAGCTAGAAATGAACTCAAGTCCAGAAAAGGCCACTTTTGTCATAAAATGGGCAATATTTGGCCACATTTTCTAGACTATGGGGAGGAAATCACTCTTCAGACATAGGATTTGGAGCAATTGAGCTGGAACTGACCTGGAAGCCTCATCCTTGAAGTCTAACCCTCCCAGTATCAGAGGATACTATGTAAGCTGCCAAATCGCCCAGCTGTCAAGCCTACATACCACAACGACTGGTCCAGCAAACTGTCTCTACTGGTGCAGTAGTGGCACTTTTAAAAGCTGTCTACCTAGATGGTTTCTATATTATATTATGGTGACTATCACTGGCTCACCTCACTAAGTTTCATACTGTATTACATTTTAGAGCTGAGAGGAAACTTAGAGGTTAACAAATTTAGCCTTTTCACTGGACAAGGAAAACTAAAGCCAATGGGATTTAAGTCCTTTGTCCATGTAAGATAATATACAACACAACCAGTCTTAGAAACAGACTCTATTTTCATACATTCGGAGATGACACACTGTGGCCAGTGTTTTAATTTTTTCTCCTACACAAAATCTGGCTATGTCACTCTCTCAGAATGAATTCTAAACACATGGCGTTACAGACCATGTGTTCTTGCTATTCCTGCCATGAAGAATTTACACCTGTTTGGCCCATACCTGACACCAGGTTAGATCTATACAGCTCCACAGCCCAGGTTAATCTTCTATGTCGTCCTTATCTCATGACAAGAAAAAAGTGTCCAAGAACAATTCTTCAACTTTATTTTGTTTGTTTTGGGTCTCCCTGTAGCCACAGCTGTCCTGGAACTCACTATGTAGACCAGGCTAGCCTCAAACTCACAAAGATCCGCCTGCCTCTGTCTCCCAAGTGCTGGGATTAAAGGCATGCACTACCATGCCTGGCCTCAACTTAACTTTTAACTTTCCCCACTTATTCTTTTTAAAAACATTTCTATATCCTATCAAGATAGTCAATACCTACGTGATGGGCACATCTTTGTACTGTGGCTGCTGTGGCACATTACTTCCTTCCAAAGGAATCTGAGTCACTGTGGGCATAGACTTGTTTACAAGCACTTGTTTGTTTTCTACTTTCTCACCTAAGAAAAGGAAAAGCACATTAAACACATTCCTATTATCTGTGCAGAATGCAAAGATTGCTGGGACACAAAACAATGTGGTTAGATTTGGTTCATGAAATACAGACATGGAAGAAAAAAAAATGGGTCATCCCAGTGGGAAGTAAAGTTTAACAGGGCTTTAAGTAAAAAAGAACCAGAAGAAAATCATAATGTGAATAAATAAGAAACTGACTTACCAAATGAAACATCACCACCATTACCAGCAATTTTCATCTAGCTCTTAGGATATTAGAGCAGGTGCGCACCATTTTATTTACATTTCAAATAGTACCAGGTCACCAGCAGCTTACTTTGGACAGGGATGAAATCAAAATATTCTCTGGTTTTGCTGCTGTTCCCAGTTTAAGGATGGGCTCCTTACAGAACTGTCCTCACACATATTTTCTAAGCCACACTAAAGTGTTAACACTAGACAAAAAATTTCAAGGAAACGAAGACAGAATGAAGGGGGCCTCGTGGAATCGTAGCTCTGAATAGCACTAGCCATTCAGACCCCATCTCTGACCAGGTTGTGTGGATGGTGACTGGTCTAATGACAGAATGCTCAGTTATCTCATGTGCTCCATCCCCTCCTTGTGCTCTCCTCCTTTGGACTACCTCAGCCTCAAGTCCCAGCACCCCGGCACAGGTTTTGATCCTACTCAGAACATACTCTCTTGCCATATTCAGACTTTAGCTCATTTCCTTAGAGAGGCTGCACAGATCTTCCTCACTAGGTCAAATTCTCTTGCCACAAAATGGCCTCCTATGTACCGCTATGATTCCTTACATTATGTGTAATCCAATGTATGTCTGTGTGTGAGCCTCTGCTCAACGTCAGTCTTCCACCCTAGTCTGTAGGACCCACTGGAGGAAGGACTGTGTGTTGCAGAAACATATTTAGTACATAATTGTAATTATATTGGAGTTACATCTTTTAGGGAAAGAAGATTCTAAAGTCAGATTGTAAGATAGGTGTATAAATTAAGAAATACCAGCATAGATGTAGAGCCAAGACCTTATTCAAAACACTGTTTAAAGCTTGGCTTTTCTAGAATTTAAAATCCTAACTAGAAGGCCGGGCGTGGTGGCGCAAGCCTTTAATCCCAGCACTCGCACAGGCAGGGGCAGGTGGATCTCTGTAAGCTTGAGGCCAGCCTGGCCTACAAAGCGAGTTCCAGGCCAGCTGGGGCTACAGGGAAACCCTGTCTCAAAAAGACCAAAAAAAAAAAAAAAAAAAAAAAAAAAAAAAAAAATCCTAACTAGAAAGTATTTCTGCTATGTGAAAGCATGATGCACAGAACAGACAGGAAGGAAATCCACCAAAAATAACTGCACTGGCTGAGTCTACACAGAAGCATTGCAGGCTGGTCCCTGCTGCCCTGTTCCCCAACTATTCAGAAATACTGTTGACTCTCACAATTTCAAAATATATGCATTGAAATTCATCATTTTAAAAAAGCATTTACCTGGAGAACAAATGCCATCTGCATCTAAAATTTCATGTCGCCAAATGGGTTTCCTGGTGGAAGCGTCCAGCATGGGTCCCATCACCTTGTCAAAAGTCTGGTTGGTGTAGCGCTTCAATGTACATTTAGCATTTTTATACACTAGGCAACGCCCAAAACCTGAAATGAAACAAAAATCGGTCAGAATCCCCAGCAATAGGAAACTAAGACAAAATAAGGGTTTGTGTTATTCAACAATCCACTTTACTTCACTTAAAAACAAACAAATAAAAAACAAAAGCCAAACTATGTTACAGCTGTATAACCTGGAACTGGCAAAACCAAACAACAATCTAATAACCTGGGAATACCTCAGATACCTTCCCTAACTATGGTCTATATAAACACTGGGATTCCTACAGTGATTTTTCCAGCTATGGGTCATGTTGAAGGAACCACATAATATTAGAATGCAAAGGGCCTAGAAAACACCTGTGTAATCCTTCTTTAAAAATTTATTCATTTATTTATTTTTATTTTATATGCATGAGTGTTTTGTCCATGTAACTGGAGACTAGAAGAGGGTGTTGGATCCCGTGTGACTGGAGTTACAGACAGTTGTCAGCCACCATATGGGTGCTGGAAACCAAACCCAGGTCCTCTGCAAAAGCAGCCAGTGCTCTTAACTGCTGAGCCATCTCTCCAGCTCCTCAATCCTCTTTTATAGGCATTCTAGGTGAGGACCAGAGAATTAAACAAGCATAGGAAGTTGGTAGAGATGTAAAAATAGACCAAGTCTACCAACTCCCAACCAAGATCCTCAGTACACAAACTTTCTGCATATAATTTCTGCTAAGCCTCCCTGAAAAGTGTTCCTTTCTCTCAGTCTGACATTTATGGCTAGACTCAAGAAAACAAGCAAACAAAATATTTTTTTTCCTCCTGAGAAGAGAAACAAAATCAAATGACTTTAATGGAAGAGTTCACCTCTGCCTTAAAGGTTAGTTTAGTTTAATTACATTTGTAGATTTCATTTGTCTGGCAGATGAGGAAAAAGCTGTGAGACCCACACTAATATCACAGAAGAGGACGTAGAAAGACTGTTAAGAGCTAGAGGGCCAGGATGCTTGCTGGTAGACAGTGTCATCTAGACATGACAGGGGAGCTGCACCATGAAATCTCAACAGCATGACTGCCTAAACAAGACCTGCATAATGACACCAGCTGACATGCCAACATGGCATTCTCCTGAGGAAAATGCCTCAGGAGAAAACGCCAGCTATCACTAATGAAATCATGCATGACTGCAAAATTCTTCACCAAAAGTGAAACTCTTTCAAGAAATCTGAGGATGTGAGTTTAGAAAATCAATCAGGTAACAATGGATTCCTAACCTCAGTACTCCTTTTTTTGAAAATCTGAGGATGACTGTGGGGTGAAAAAAATTTCTACAACTGTACAGTAGATGAAGACACTTGACTTTGGGAAATTCTTAGTACAGCAATAATAAACTCAGCTCAGAGCTGACTGCTTTGCAAATATTACATGACCTGCAACTGCAATACAACAGTCATTAAGTGCAACATGCTGCAGTACGGTGTGAATCTGAATGGTATGAAATCTTTGGGTGATTTTTTTCTAAGCATAATGGACATTTTATTTACAGGTGGAAGCTAGTGGACAGTAAACTCTGATCATTAAATTGTGTTGCAGCATTTCTGACGGACATCACAAAGTCTGTAGATTTCCACATAAACGTTACCAGTTAATCAGAAAGGAAAACATCTAGTTTTAAAGCATGGCTGTTGTCATTTGGAGGAAAAAGAGAGGCATAAATTAAGTGCAGCCAACATTAATGCCAGTGGCACATGTCTAGGAGTACTATTACGGCTGCCTAGCAACTAGAAAGGGAAGGGAAGGCGTCATGGGCATGCCAGAGAGGAAAGAGGGGAAGAGACTGAATAGAGAAGTCAGCCTGCAGATCAGGGGATGCCAGCTCGGTCATGAAGTGGTGACCTGGGAAAGTAAATTGTCAAAAGACGGAGAAAGGAAAGCACAAAAACTACAAGATAAAGGTTGTGTATGTATACTTTTGGTTAAAAAAAATATATTGTTGATTATGGGGTTGGGATATATAATAATAGCCTTTTCCATCTGAATGCTGCCACTCACCTCTCAAACAGATTTATTGTTGCATAAAATACTAGATACATTAAAAAACAAACAACAACAACAAAAAAACCCTTAGTTCATGTACTGTAATTCTGGTGGAAAATGGGAAACTGTTTCAGGTCACCAATAAATAAAATAAGGACCGAAAGATTTTGAACTAATATAGCCAATACATTATTTCAATATATGTCATTAGAAACAAAGCCCAACACAAATATATAGTAGCTCCAGTTTATGTCATAAAATTCAAATCATTTTAAAGCGGCATTGCCATTTTATATTAATCACTCACTATATCTAATTCCACAAAAAGTTTCCTGGTACTAAAGCTTCAAGAATCCACTTACCCCTGTCCAAGGAGGCCTTGTTTAAAACAAGGGCGTCTTCAATGTCATAGCCACTGTAGCTCATCACGGCAACAGTTGCGTTCTGTCCAGCTGGCAATTTCTCAAAATCTATCAATTCGATGGTTTTTGTTTTGACCATGGGTTTTTGTGGATATGCTAGTAGATACATAAGTGTATCAATTCTGTTTCGCTGGTTGTATCCAATGGTACCTTCATCAAAGGGAGAAAACAAAAGGCACCATTCTATTATGTGGAATAATTAGATAGCAATGAATACAAACACATTAACTTTGCTTAACTAAAATGCAGAAAATCTGAAGTCAAACATTTCGAAAGTAACACCCATAGAGTAGCTGCTAATTTCCAAAAGCAACTTTCCTAATATTTAAAGTCCCAGAAAAATCATAATCAGAGTATAAAAATGCAAGTAATTTCAACTTTTGGACTTATATAGAGCTGATTCTGTTTGAGGAATTTTGTTACTGGTTATTTTCATAACAAAGTCCACAAACCTGCCCTGGGCTCTGTTAAGACATGAGAACAACTTCCAGTCCTCATAAGCAAGGAGCTGACACAGCACAATGATGGCAAAAGATTAAATGAAAAGATGCAGATGAGAGGAGTGTGAAGAAATGGACAGAATGAAGGGTGGGCTTGCTAATTTGTCTGTTTATGAAACTGATAATAAACATCTACTCTGCATCAAACACTGCAGATGTGTGGTGGAAGGCCAGGTTCCCTTTCTGAAGAACATGCAGACACAGTCTAATCAGGATGAGCTCTTCCCTCCTTAGCAATCTGCCTTCCCATTTGACAGTCCTTAGAAGGCGTTACTGGATTATGATTAACCGAAGTGAAGTCTCAGTGTTAACCCTTTCTCTCTTGTCCCCTTAGGAAAACAATGGGATTTATGTCCTGCCTGAAGAAGTCTTTTGGGCTTGTAGATGCACAGCTGATCCTACATAGAGACCTTTAAACTGGGGAAGTGAGAACTGTCCTGCTGTTGATGTCATACGGAGGCTACTGTGTCCCCCTAACTTCTGGCACTTCTCCCCCTGTGACTAAGGAGGTTAAGAGGTGTTAACATCAGAAGAAAGATGGTATCTTTGCCGCTAATGCACATACACCATGGTAACACGTACACATACCCATCAACCCCAGGATGGTACAGAATGGAGTTAGGTCTGAGTGTGAATAGATACCCAAACTCCATATTATTTCCTTTAACTCCGTGCATTTGCACTATTAAATCAGTGGCATCAAGGAGACAGTACAGTGGTAGACAGCTTCTAGTATGCGCAAGGCCTTAGGTTCCATTCCAGCACTACCAAAACAACAAAACCAATCAATAGCCATCTTAATTCCAAGCTGAAAAATCAACTATTTGAGCAGTAAAAAAATGATATGGTACTTCTCAACAATTACCACTAAAAGCAATAATAAAGTCTGCACAGAAGGTACTGCAGAGTGCTGAGCACGTCATAGATGCTCTGTAAATGTCAAGTGATTTCGACAGTGCACTTGTGTTTAAATCCTTACAAAATTTATGAAGATTCAACGAAAATGAACAGTCAAACTGAACTTCACCAACTTTTTGTTGAGTTTGGACTAGAAATTGCATTTATATTATTTTAGTGTCAACTATTAAAGCAGACACACCACCTGACAATAGATCACTTCCATCTTAGAGTGAGATCACTGCTGTGGGGATCATGATAAAGTTCACTGACAATAAGTTTATCTTTTTCCATGAAATCATTTAAAATTTATGTTGCAATTTCAGTTCTAACTGTGTAGTTTACCCAGTTTGAGATCAGCGTTCAGGCAATATCCCACCAGGCTGCCAAAACATGCCTTCTGTAACCCGAGACAAGCATTATCATGCTGCAGGGAAGTATAATGGCTGCGCCTCTAGACAATGGCCCCAGAGTTGGACCCAGCTATGAGCTGTGCTCCCAGGCCAGAACATGCTCTCCAGCTTTATGAATGACCACTGAATGGGACAGCAGCCAGACTGCACATCTGGGGTTATAATCACATCAGAAAATTTTCTTCAAAGAACTTGTGGAGTATACCTATACACATGGGTTTTTAGAAGCATAATAGATGTGTATATTAAGACATGATATATAAATTATGATTTCTAGAGCACAGAGTCTTAAAATGCCATCAAATCCCATCATTTATAAAAATGATGCCAGTAACCTTTTTGGGAGAGAAAATATCTTAAGAAATTAAATTAAAAGCCTTGCTTGTAAGCACAAGATCCAACTAGAACACCCCATTACTCTTTTTAGTTTCTTTAAAGAGGGCATTGCAGGCCTGGGGATACAGGCTCACAGAATGCTTTCTGGCATGCACAAGGCACAGCAAAAAAAGGGACAGGGGAAATGACATACATGGCAAGGTAACTAATAGAAACAGAACACCTGTAAACGGCACCTACTTCCATCGCCCCACCTTACAGTAACTGTTGTGTTGCTAATGTTTTGGGCTTTTTTGGCTTTTTGAAACAGGGTCTCCCTGTAGCCCCAGCTGGCCTGGAACTTGCTATGGAGTCCCAGTTGGCCTGGATCTCAGAGATTCGCCTACCTCTGCCTTCCCAGTGCTGGGATTAAAGGGCATGTACTACCTCACCTGGCTGGTGGTGATTTCTTTTGTCTTACTACCAGGACATAACTTTTCTTACAAAGTCACACTTCTCTTGATAACTTTCTTAAGTCACAAATAAGCATAACAAGGTACATAAATGTAGGTTAAAACCGGAAAAGGTGATTTTATTCAAGGTGAGATGTAAAAGATTATACTGATGAAAACAACAAAATGTTTTCTGAAAAACATGACGCTTTATGAATTTAATTTTTCTCTCCTCCTTTGCCCCCATCTTAATCATTATCAAATACAATAAGTGGTAATGATAATGGTATGATACAATTAACTTGCAGGCACTGCTAGAGAATTCTGTAGCATGATTGTACCATGTTCCATCTCCACCTGCAGTGCCTGAGCCTTCTAGCTGCTCTTCATCTGGACATCTAGGATGTCCATCTTTTTAATCATTCTAATACATGTGCACGATCTCATGATGGGTTTACGGGACAATCACAGTGTTGAACAGTCTGACATGTACAATGGTCATTCCTATTTGTGAAGTGCCTCATTTTGCCCATCTTTTGAGTTGTCTTATTATTAAAGAATTCTCTATATAAACTAGATACAAGGCCTTTGTTAGATATGTGTATTGCAAATACTTTCTCCTATTCTATGGCTTATATTTTCATATTCCTAACAGTGTCTTTCAAAGAGCAAAAATTTAATTCTGAGAAATTCCAATTCATAAATTTTTCTTCTTTAAAAATGTATTTATTTTTAAATTTATTTTTCATGAGTGTTTTACCTGCATGTATGTAAATGCATCATGTGTGTGCAGTGCCCAAGGAACCAGAAGAGGGCATTGGAACTGGAGTCACAGACAGCTATTAGCAGCTATGTGGATGCTGGGAACTGAATCTGGGTCCTCTACAAAAGTAGCCAGTGCTCTTTACCATGGAGCCATCTCTCCAGCCCCCAATTTTTCTTCTTATAATTTATACTTTTGGTATACTATCTTAGAAAGCTTAACCAAGTCATAGAAGCTTTCACAGGTATTTCCTTTTTCAGGTGTTACAGTTTTAGCTCCATGTTTAAGACTACAATCCATTTTGTTAATTTTTATATGGTATGAGGTAGGAACTGATGCTCACCATTTTACATATAGATATACAAAATAAATTTTTTTCAGCTGAGGATTTCCTTTCTCCAATGAACTGTTATGACATTTTCATCGAAAATCAGTTGCTAGAGCTGGGAGTGGTAGCAACACCTATAATCCCAGTACTAGAGAGGCAGAGGCAGGTGGATCTCTGTGAGTTCAAGGCAAGTCTGGTCTATATTTTGAGTTTCAGGTCAGCCAAGTATACATAGTGAAGACCCTTTCCGGAAAAAATAAAAAATAAAAAAATAAAAAAACCCGAGAGAAAGATGTATACATTTATGGGCAACTGATTTCCATTCATTTATTCTCTCAATAAACCTGCAGTTCACCAATTCAGATAGACTGGTTGGGCAGCAAGCCTTCCAGTGAGCTGCTGCACTTTCTAAATGGTTGAGTGCCTGTGATCTGAACTCAGAGCCTCGTGCTTGAGGAAGCACTTATACTAACTGAGATATCTCCCCAGGACTGTGCCTGGTTTCGTAAGTTTAACATGCTCAGAGTCATTCATTTATTATTTCAGAAACATTTACTAAGTACTTACCATACCACCTATTAACCTGGGACTATGCTAGGCACAAATATACAATAATAATGAAAGAGTTCCTGTCTTCGATGAGCTTATAATCTATAGTCTAGCAGGAATGACTGATCCACAAATATTCAGGAAAAGTAAGAAGTTGGTTTTATCTGAGAAGAATTTTAGTAAATTGTATATAGATAAGATTATATAGGAGATATAATGTGACATTGTGTAAGTTATTTAATCAAGCTAGGATTGTACTTCCTTGTCAGGAAAAAAAAGGTATATATCCCACAGAACTATGATCTTGACTAAAAGAATAAATGTACGCAAGAATATGTTGATCTAGGGAATAAGTCAGTGGCAGAGTAGAGGTTTAGCATGAATGTAGTCCTGGGTTCAATCCCCAGCAATACACCCTGTCCCCCAAATTAGGTACTCAGTAAATGGCAACAGTTATTAAGACTAACATCAGTAATACTGGCAGTGCAGGGATCACCCATTCATTATTACCCATTCTATCTCCAATTCTAAACCACACACTAAACTTTAGATTGAAGCAGTAACTTCCTATCACTACAAGGGAGTCCAAAACTAACGTATGCCACCGAAACTGAAAGAGTACTAAGCTCGTAATTTTGAGAGTGAATCTAACACAAAATATTGGCAAAGGGATATTTACATCTTAAGAAAAGACTCTGGATAATACTTTAAAAAGTAAGCATTCACTGCCAACATTTTTAGTCTTAAAAAATATCACATGAACTTAAACCTAAAAGCTATAATAAATTTTAAAAATCGTAAACCAATGGCAGCATTCTTTAAAAAAAAAAAAAAAAAAACCCAAAACTTGCCATGGATAATTGGCTAAGGCTTTTTTTTTTTTTTTTTCAATTTTGTACTCCTAAACAAGTAAAGAATAAATATGCTAAAACAAACAGTAATTGGGGTAGAGGCATAAATGAAAAAAAACTTTATGAGGATCTTTGAACATGTATTAAATATCTCAATTTCTAGTATATCTGATTCCACTTTGAACACAAGGGAAGAAACTATTTGCCCAAGGAGAGAATCTACTGAAAACAAAACAGACTGCAAAAAAGTTCCAGCAATTTGGAGCTGAAGAGGGGAGGGCTGGAGGAAGGCCATGATGCATATTCATTAACTGGGCTGATAGTGACTGTGTGATCCTTTAAGTAGGGGAAAGTGTTCCTCTAGACGGTTGCCAACTAATAAAACAGGCAGGATATGAAAGTGTGACTCATATGAACTTAGCATCGCTGCGGAGTGCACATAGTGCAGAGCTCCACACAGCGTTTGCACTAGGGCTCAGAGACCATTTCCAGATGTCTACCTGACTTCCTGCTCCAAGACATGTCGCTACACCTAAAGCCTCACGTACAGAAGCTAGGGATGTCTCAGTAGCACAGAGAAATGCTCTGTGGAAACCTGAACTTTATTAATAACTTAAAGTGCCTGAGATTTAAGAAACGGCCCTTGCAGGTGTGTTATGTTGGATTAGCTCTCTCAGGTTGAGGTAAGGCTTTCAGCTTCTGTGGTTCCTGTAACTCTTTGTGTACTTCTTTGTGGGGACAGAAAATGACTTACTGCTTCACTCTCTTGGAGAGAAATAGGAGGCTGGGGTTAAACACAGCAAACTTTCCAGATTGGCTAGAATATTTAGTAAAGCAGTTCTGAACTACTGTCTTTCACTTTCTACATGAACAAGACAATTAACAAGCAAACCATTACTTTGGAAAATCCACATAAACTCAGATTTAAACAGTCTTCAGTCATGGGTCCTCTGTAAGTAGGGGAGTAACTTTTAGGTACAGGCTGCCAGGACCGTAAGGGGTTAAAGTGATCTGGAGAAGTCCTGCTCACAGGGTTAGGTCTGCTTCACAGACCTGGGGCTCTGCGGGGGTTTTCTCCTTCCCCTGACGGTTTTCCTTCTGACTTTCACACAGACTTTCCTCAATACTCCTGGAGCCATGTCAGAATCCAGAGAGAAATGTGGCCACACCATGTGCCAACTTTAAATGCACTTTTCTCTGTTTTTCTTTCCAGTCAGGTGTTTTATAATAACAAACAGTAACAAAGGTTTTTTTTTTTTTTTTTCATTACTTAAGATATTCAGTGGCTTTTGTCTCTCAAGCGTCAGCAGTAACGTCAGAGGATTGTATCCAAGGAGCTAAATGTGCAGGACCCAGGGTCAGAGCAGCTGAATACACCAACCTCAGAAAACACAGACAATGAATTGCAAATGACACTCACAACAAAACGAGGGAAAAAACCTTCACACAGAAAACTATAAAAGAACTCTACAGACACTGAATTGGCTTTCTGTACACACTGATCCTGCTTAACTGTGTGTGGTAACTAACCCAGCATTTCAGACACGTAGGGCCACAAAATAGAGGTTGCTTTTTCGGTGGGGAGGAGTGTAATAAAAATGAAAATATTATTTATTTCCTTTAAGTCTATTTTTTAATTTTTAAAAGAGCCTCACTAACTGGAGATGCTCAGCTCTCCTGTTTGGATCTTCAAACATAACTAGTGGCATTAGCAGTGCAGTGATTAGTCTTCTGTTAATTCTGGAGAAAGTTTACACAAAACGTGCATTGTTTCAGCCAGGATTCGCATCACGAAACAAAATGGTTTGGTAAACCCAATAGAAGTGATAGCCCTTTCATGACACCCTGGGTGCGGCACTGTGTATTTCAACTTATTAGTGAGTCAGGCACACAGGCAGGAAATCAGCCTACACTGCTGGGATGAATGGGGAAAGTGAAACTCAGGAGTAGCTGCTTGGATTTTCCCACTGGGAATTACTCTCAACTGTCTAGGTGTTACACCATTCAGGTAAATGGTGGCAGGACAATATGCTTTTCATCTCTTCATAGCCAGCTGAAGGGCAACATAAAGGCTTAAGAAGAAACATATACTCCACCTGTAGTGAAGAGGTAGGATTGCTTAATGGTCAGCAGCAGCTGGCAGTGGAGAAGAGACTGGCCAAATTCTGGAGGCCACTCGGAGGCAATGCAACCCCCTCCATCCAATTATTTTATCTTTTTAAAAAACAAAGAAAGAAAAAAAGAAAAAGAAAACACACACACACACACACACACACACTCAAGAAAAGAAAAAAGGAAAAAACAGGGTCTCTCCCTAGTCCCAGCCTACCTGGAAGTCACAGTGTGGACCAGGATGCCTCAATCTCAGAGATTTGCCTCCTGGAATTAAAGGCACACATCACCACACCTGGCTATTTTACAACTTAAAAAAATTTTATTTTTATTTTATGTGTATGAATGCTATGACTGCATGTGTGTAACTGCACCCATGTCATTCATTCCCCTTGGAGGACAAAAGAGGGCATTGGATCCCCTGGAACTGGAGTATGGATGGTTGTTAGTCACCATGTGGGTGCTGGAACTTGAACCCGGGCCTACTGCAGCATTCAAGATTAGAAATGGGAAAAGAAAATTTATTAAAGTTACTAAGATTTAAATATTTTCTGAAGTTCATTAAGTAAGGTCTGTTTGGGAGTGGCTTTCAGCTGCTCCACACACATGCATGCTCCATGCATCACATATTTCCACCACACCTCCATGGCTACCATATCAGAAAGCCACACCAAGGAACCAGCACTCCCATGAAATGCTTGCTTTATTTCCTCTATATTTGAAAGATACTTGTCTTCAAGACTCAGCTCAGTTCCATCTTCACAAACAGCCTGCTCTCTAGGTCTCTCCTCCCTCCCATTTTCTACATCCTGGCTGCTGGTCTATTTCAGCACCTATTACACTAGATTCAATTACTGTTTTATTTGCTGATCTCTCCTGCTGAAGTGCAATTCCATAAGCACAGGACTCTGATGCTTTCAGGCTCTCTCCCCATGTCTGATCACCAGCCTTACTCAGTGAATACTACAGATATAAGGATGGATAGATAAACTGACAGACAGATGAAAGGAAAGAAAAATAAAAGGGAAAGAAATGAACTCAGAAATTGGTGTCTGTCCTACTTATAAACTTACATTTTATAGCTCTGATATTTATAGTCACTCCTGTATAATTCTGTGAGATTTATCATAGGCCACTGTGTTTGGCCAAGGAAACGAGAGATTTTTCTCCATTTTTGTTTAAGTAGAAGACAGGGCAGGGCCTCTGTGAGGATCGTGGAGTTCCACAGGCAATCTGAGCTCAGCAACCCTCAGGAATCACCAACACCTGATTTGCCCAGACACATACTAAGTGAGAATAATGAGTAAGTCGTTCTCCAAGTCAGTAAGAACCAGGTCTACCAAGGAACTCTTACCCATGGCTTGTTTGCCCATGGCGCACTGGTAGGTGTTTCTTGGAGACTGGTTATGATGAGGGTATGGGATCAGGCCAGCACAAACTCCAAGAAGAGTGAAGGGTTCAATCTCCAGGTGGGTGGTATCTCTAGCAAGTCAATGAAGATTCAGACATTTTAGGCATTAAGTACTAAAATACAATTACCTCAGTCTCCAAGGAATTCATAAGATAATAAACTGTGATGCTAACAGACCTGGCAAAATGAAACCACGCTGAAATAAACACGATTAAACATAAGAATTCAAATTGCTTTGAGATAAAATTCTTATTAGTGACAGAAACACAAAAGAAGGGAGACAGTATGGACTTGTTTATAGAAAAATAAAGTGTTATTATAATACACACCACTAGTAATACATGACATAAATTACTACACTGAACACGGAAATACAGTAATAATAATTTCCACAGTGGATGAATAGACTGCCTTTTCTCACTCTTTCAACTCATATCAGCAAGAAACCTTGATCACTGTGTAAGAGGAAGGAATATATCAGCTTTAAAAAGAGTGACTACAAACCTATGCAGACCATTACCATAGCCATTAGCTAACTGTGGCTACTGAGCACTTAAAACCTTAAACTACTGAGGAACTGAATTTTAAATTTTATCTAATTTGAATTGCATTAAAATTTAAAACTCAAGTTTAAATGTAAATAACTGAGTTTGTTTACTTTAAACTTTGTCATTTTGGAACAGCTTGCATTTGTGAATCTACTTAGTCAACTATAAAAGTTATAATATCAGAGTGAGTATTTCTAATGAAATTGAGCTGAACGTGCGTACCAGATTTTAAAGATTTGTAATGGAAGCTGGGTGTGGTAGCGCATGCCTGTAGTCCCAGCACTTGGGAGGCAGAGGCAGGTGGATCTCTGTGAGTTCAAGGCCAGCCTGGTCTACATAGTGAGTTCCAGGACAGCTTGGGCTACAGGGAGACCCTGTCTCAAAAAGACCAAAAAAAAAAAAAAAAAAAAAAAAAAAAAAAGATTTGTAATGGGAAAAATGTAAAATATCTCATTTAAAAAATATTTATTAATGTTGACACAATATTTTAGATATAGTGGTTTAAATAAGAATATTAAAATTAAGGTCCGTAGACATAGTTAAGTGATAAAGCACATGCCTAGCAAGTATGAAGTCCTAGATTCAATCCCTCAGTGTCCCTTCCAAAAATAATAATTAATATAACTCATCTTTCTTTTTTATATGGTTATTAGAAAAGTGGTACATATTGGTGGCTTGCATTATATTTTTATTGGGCAGCTTTGTTATAGATACTAGATTAGTAAGTGTCAGAACCTTGGTTACTTTCATAATATATTTCTTAGGAAACTCAGTTTGGGGCTAAATGATACAGCAGCTCAGGTGTTTTCATGGGAAAGAGTAGCCAGATTCTCAAAAGTCTTGCTGAAAGAAACATGTATCACATTCAGGGCCCATGGCATGCAGTGATCCTATGCTCTTAACCTCAGGTGTCAGGGATGGAACCATAACAATTTCAAAGGTCACAGTACCTGTGGGAAGAAGTGATTTCTAAGAAACCAGGTTCCAACCTGCTGTGGAAACCTAGTTGCAATGTACCTGGTAAAAGGTCTCCTACCTACTCATCTACTTTTCTCTAATACACTTGTACTGAACTGTCTGTGTGCTGGTGAGAGAAGTACTTTGCACATACAGAGCTCTACTTGGAAGATTCATGTTTTCTTTGAGACCTAGCGGAATCTTAAATCCTCTCAGAAACTTAGATCTTAGTCAGCAGGGAGGTAGAGGGTGTAGGTATTCTTTTTGTTTTAATAGGTATCAGCTTAAAGCTGCATTTTACAGGTTATACTGAAACAGTTTGGCTATGGGATGTAGTGGTAGAGGGCTTGGCCAGCATGCATGAGGTCTTAAAACCTTTTATTACAACAGCAGTATACATATGATTATATAATCTCTACTAACTATTGAAAATCTAATGCTCTAAATTCTAATTTTATGAGAAAGATAACTATTTCCTTTAAAATCATAACCACTGTGAATCTATCCAAAATAGGAATTAAGAGACTTTGCTGTATATAACCCACTTAAATACTTGATATTAAAACTAAGTAACTTGCTGCTTATGACAGTGGAAAATTACAAAGGCCATCAGGGCACAAGACAAATAAATTATGTATAGGTAGGCAAATAATGTTAGAAGTATCAATTTAAAGAAAACTTATATGTACATATATGACTGGTATTCACGTGCACTAGCATGTTGTTTAGAGCATATTATTAAGTTAAAAAATTAAAAATAAAAACATGCCACCATTGTTCTGTATGATGTGCTATGGGACCAGCATGTATCTTTGTACAGCAAGTACATATTAAGGACCAATATTGACTATGGAATGTGGATGTGGAGTCTGGTTGGATGGGGAAGAATGGAGATTCTTTTTTTTTTTTTTTTTTTTTTGGAATAGATTGGATCCCATCACTAACCAGCTTACTACCAGTTAACGACCTCTGTGTTCTTTTCCTATATCAAGAGATCCCAGTCACTGTGATACTATTTCAGTTATTTTAATGTGTCAAGTTTTCTGTCTCTGTGACTCTCTGTCTTTCTCTCTAATTTTTCAGTGCTACAGATCAAACCTGACCTTGAATATGCTAGGGAAATCCTACACTGGTGAGCTACAGGGCTACTGGAAATCACTATATAGCTAAAGTTGACCTTGAACTTCTGATCCTATTGCCTCTTCCTCTTGAGTGCTAGGACTACCCTGGTTTTTTTGTGGTGCTGAGGATTGAACTCAGGGTTTGGTGTACGCTAGGTAAATATTCTACCCACTGGCTTACATCTGCAGCTTAAGTTCATTCTTTTTATTTTATAGATATCTACACTAAAAAAACAAAACAAAAACCTTCCTAAGTATGAATTTAATAATAGGATTACCATATTTTAAAACAAAATGGATTTGTAGAATATCTTAGTGATTGGGTAATACTGATAGCTATATTTATTTATAGCAATGAAAAGATCATTAAAAACCCCTGCCTCATAAAGCTCTCATGGAAGATACACAATAATAGAGATTTCTATCCTGGCAGTAAACATTAGAAAATGAGCATTAGAAAAACAAAGCAGGGAAGAGGGTGGACAGAAATAGGAGTTTCAGTTTTGAAACATAGTGGTTGGAGACTCACAGAATGTGAGTGTAGGCCTGGAGAAGAGGCAGGAGCCATTCCAGGTACGAGTGAGCATTCTAGTTTGGAGAGGCCAGTATGGCTGAAACAGCAAGTGCGAGGGGGGCATGGAAGGTATAGGGAGGAGTGTGTGCAAGAGGCAGGAGCCCAGGGACATATGTAAGGACTCCTAAGGGACATGGAAAGCTACAGGGGGACAAGCAATGGCAGCAGCTGGATTAACGGGTAGATGGAGGTGAGCATATCTGGAGGACTCATGTGACAAGTGAGAGATATGGAAGAGTAGTTAAGAGTAAAACGTGGGATCTGGTCTCAAGAAGAAGCTTAAAGAACAGAGCTTCTATTTATGTCTACTATAGGCTGGGCATGGCAGCACATGCACTTAGGGAGGCAAAGGTGAGCATATCTCTCTCTGAGTTCCAGGCCAGCTTTGCCTACATAGTAAGTTCTAGGCTGGCCAAATGACACAGTGACACCCTGTCTCAAAACAAAACAAAGTCTGCTATAGAACAGTTTTTTCGTGTTCCATCTTGAAATGCAGGGCATAAAAGTGATCGGAAAATCTCACAACTTTAAGGAGGAAAAGCATTATTTATTAAATTATAATACAATTATATAGTGGTATAATTCATTTGGTAGCAGAAAACAGAAAATTAGCTGTTTGTTATTGAAGACATAAACAGCTATCAAATAGGACTATTAAACACCCTACTTAAAAATAAACTGCAAAAATCCAGTTTTAAGTAAGTGGTACATGAGTTATATGCATTATAAAGCAAGTTGGACAGCTGTCTTCTAAATGGAACACAGATGTTTCTAAAATTCCACTGTGGTAGAAGGAATGTTAGCAACAAACTGCTGTCTCAAGTTTGCACGGCACATATGCTTACAGACATTTTTACAATACTATACATGAATTTCCTGCCCTGACAACAAGAATTCAGATGTCCATTGACAAAAATCTTACCTAGTCTGATTCATTAGTTCAATGTTCATAGTAACTGGGTATCAAAATCAGAGAGGAAATTCCTTTTTAAAAGTATATACTAAGTATCATGTGGTAGGTAGGATAATTAAATCAAAAAATGAGTAGTTAATTAATTCTGAGAACTTCCACTGGGATAAACAGTAGGCATGTTTCACTGTAGAACAGCATTGTTACTAACAGTTTCAACTGTAAGACACCAGCAAAAAAGTGACTAGGACAATGAAAGTAGACAGTCTGGTCAAAATGGCTTCAGTTACAGTTGCCACGAGTCCTACTTACTTGTTAATTGTATGTTCATAGAGTGCAATATTACAGTCATTTTCTTCATTCACATCTAAATATTCAACCAGACTTTCATGTAAGAAATCCTCAAAATTCCTGGGAAAATATTGTTAAAGGAGACATTAAAGCATTTTACTACAGTATTTTATATAGTAACAAAAAATTCTGGTTTTCATTTATTCCCAAACTACCCTTCTTTCCCAGAAAGTATTAGTAAATTGAGATAGCTGAAATACAAACCACTAAAATAAAAGCACTACAGAGCCGGTGATTCTTGTCAATCGGGTCCCCATTTCTAAAAATACTGACTTTTAGAAACTCCACTGCATGAGAGATGAACGGTGTTTACATTAGTATACTGCTATGAGGACTTAGCAGAGACATTTAATGATGCAATAATTCACATCAAGGCTCTGCAGTCCTTATGATCTAAGTTGATTAGTACTTCATCATATCTAGGAACTTCACATGGAACGATTTTTAACTGCCTGGTGACAGATTTGATGGGGAGGACTTAGTACACTAAAAAATGAAAATATACTTTCCTGAGCCAGGCATGGTGGCGCACGCCTTTAATCCCAGCACTCAGAAAGCAGAGGAAGACGTATCTGTGAGTTCCAGGTCAACTGGGGCTACAGCCGAGACCTTGTCCCAAAAAAAAGACCAAAAAAAAAGAGAAAGAAAATATACTTTCTTTAACAGCATGGATCAAATGCTACTGCTGACTAAAGTATGTATGTATATATTTAAAGAGATTAACAATTTCCAGTTCAGGCTATTTACCTGTACCCTTGAGCCAATTCTTCCATGTGTTTATTCGTGACAGCTGGCTTCTGTTTCTTAACAATTATGTAGGGCCTAAAAAGGAAAAAAGTAACAGCAGTATTGCCACAAAGAATTATGTCAGCAAGTTATGTTTACACCAGTGGAATGAGAGAAGACACAGATACAAGCTTGTTCCTGACTACTTGAAGACATAAGGTATTTTTTGTCTTCCTCTCTCTGACACATACATATAACTCGCAGTACATGGGAGTATGTGTACACTACACAGCACTTCCTCCAAGTAGCCTAGAAAACACTTGCAAACGAAAAGACAACACAAAAAAGATGCTCAATAAAGTCTATGTAGGATGGAGATTCTTCATGCTGTAGTCTAAAACTGTAAACATCATTCCAGGAACATCTCTTAACTTCCCTTTGGGAATGCTTGGTTTATAGTAGTCTCCCTTTATCTATGCATCAGTGGTTTTTTGTTTTTGGTGATTTCAGCTACTCAGGATCAACTATGGTTTAGAAATATTATGTGGAAAATCAAGAAATAAATAATTCTTAAGTTTTAAACTGTGCACTCTTCTGGGTACTGCAGTGAAGTTACCTGCCTGTTAGCTATTTGGTAGCAATTTCAGCTACTGGACTGTAAAGACAGTACATGTGGGATTGGATACTATTTGAATCAGGAATCCACTGGGGATCCTGGAACATATTTCCACATGGGAGGACTGCTGTAACCGCCCATGGAGTGAGCAGGCAAAGAGTACTGTCATCGAGGATAATAATGGCAGCTGCTGTGAGGGTCTGGTGAATACCAGACGTTGCGAATGATTTGATATAGGACAAATATCACTTAGCTAGAAGAACAGGCTACTTAAAATGCTACTTAGTTGTATGTTCACAGACAGAACTATAGCTTCCCTGCTGGTGACTTGTGATGATGTAATGAGGGTAAGGTAGAGAGAGCATTCTGGTAGATTAACCTGTAACTGTCAGTGGTGATTTGACTCTGAGGGCTTCGCCACCACAAGGAAACACACACACAAAGGATGGCATGCAGCTTGGAAACGTCAAGGGTTGTTGCTATTTGGATAAGCAGCTCTTACAGAGGGGAGTAAGTAACCAGCAGACACTTGTGTGCTCTACCCTGAAGCCCAAATAACTACATGAGGACTAATGAGCACTTTCAAACAGCCAAGAAGAGGAGCTACAAAACACAAAAGGGGAACAAAGTTGCTGAACAGTGACCTTGGCGCACTCTTCATGGAGTCAGCCGTACCTTAAAATCCTGCCTCCTTTTTGGTAAGGAAACAGAATCTCAGTCTGGTCCTACTCCAGGGCTCCAAGAGGTCAGGCTAAGACTCAAAATGACAGCAGAAACAGGACTAGGAAGGGGAGGGGCCACTTTTCTCAATAAATCCTCCTATTCTTCCTGCCAGATCTGCGGTCTGCCCTTATAAAATTACTTCTAAAAAACAATTACCTTTCTTTTAGAACATGTCTTATTATATTGGATATAATGAAATAAAAATCTTAGAAAGGACCGGCGGAGAACATGCCACTGGTTTTCCTGCCCTAATTAGGCCATGTTAACAGCTATAAATAAGCACCTGATATGTGCCTGGCCCTCTGCAAGGCTTACCACACCCTACCAATTAGTTCACAGAACAATCACAGGAAGGCATTCAAATGTGCACTTTACAGGCAAGGAACCAAGGCTCAGAAACTTATGCAACACCCTCAGAGTAACAGCCAGTAGATGGCAAGTTAGAGTTCAAACACAGGCATATCATTTTCAGGTACTTCGTCAAAGAAACCAATTTTGGATAATTTAAGCAAAAATAAACTTACTGGAAGCATCAAGAATTTACTAGAAGGACGAGAATCAAAGAAAAGGGGGAAATACTGAGGCTTAGAAAGATCAGGAACTAGAACAGTTATGAGGATCCAAAAAGTGAGAAGAGAAAATCTTAAGTTAAAAACTGTCCCTGCAGGCCAGGTATGGTGGCGCATGACTTTAATCCCAGCACTTGGGAGGCAGAGGCAGGCGGATCTCTGTGAGTTCAAGGCCAGCCTGGTCTACATAGTGAGTTCCAGGACAGCTGGGGCTACAGGGAGACCCTGTCTCAAAAAAAGATAACCTCCCCCCCCAAAAAAACCAAAAAAACAAACAAAAAAACAATACTGTCCCTGCACGCTCTTACAGACCAGATCCTACATCTTATGTGCCTCTGTACCGTCAGCTGATGGATACTACCTGTGCACAGTAAGCACTTAAGCATTTGCTGAGCACACAAAAGTAGTCCACACATCTACGGCATCTACTGCTATCTTCTTTCTTCATGTTCCTTCCTGGCTTTCCTCAGCTTTCCTCCTTTCCCTCTATGGTCAAGTAACATAACTCTAATTTTTAAAGCTCAGTTTGCAGACATAGGATATCAGGTAAAATCACAACTATAGGAGTCAAGTGATGTCCAAGGACATCCAAGTAAAACTCCACTTCTATTATACTCTAGCTCTGGATATGGGACTTAACCTTGTGGATCCCCAGTTTCCTCATTTCAATGAAAATAATAATCCAATATCATAGAGTTGAATGTAGTCATAGCCTTAAACATATCATATACCCAGTGAAACAACAAATAGTGGCTGAAGGGTTTGGTAAATGAATTAAATTTATCTTCACAACAAAAAGGTTAAGGTAGTTTCAAAATTAAAAACAAGGCTATGTCTTTCAAAAGTTCATATAAAGAGACTTAAATTCTTTTTAGTAACTCATACCTGCACAACCTTCCTCCATCAGAGGAAATATAAACACATCGATCTGTAAGATTTGTTGAGATAGAAACAAATTCATTGATATATCCTGCTCTTCGCATCAGTCGAAACGTATTTACCAGCTTTTTATGGTCTCGAATGACACCTAGAATGTTACCTAAACAAAAAGAAGAAACAGATAAGACAGAAATAAAAAATAATCTGATTTAAATTATTCATCCAATAAAAACACTAAGAAGCACGATAGTCATTTGAAAATAGTTTAGTCAGTTGAGAATATTAGTATCAAGGCGAGTTCACAGGCTTTAGAAAGCAACACAGAAGTGTGGTCAAGGGTGATCTGAGGGTCTTAGAGCCTAATTCCGATACACTGGCTGAGGAACTCTGCAAGGATTGGCTTTGCTGTCCTCAGCTGTCAGCATAGTGCTATAGGCATGAGCTTGGGGGCCAGACCAGGTGAGCTGGAACCCTGATCTATTAATTCAACAGGGAGCCGCATAGAGGAAATCAGTTAACACCTGTGGAGTGCTGCGAACTCTACTTGTTACTACACCGACTGTCTCTGAAATGAGGAAACTGGGTTTCATCTCTCAGAGTCCAGAGTCAGCAGAGGATTCAAAGCATAGGACGTGAGTGTAGACTGAGAACCTGCTCTCTATCAACTCCTGGGAGACACTGGGCAAGGCAGGCAGGTGACGACCCTGCTGAGGTCCTGACCCTTCCTCACCAGTCAGTACTAAAGGGCTAGTGGCTCCCTGAATAGGAGGAAAGGGAAGAGAAGAGACATGTGAACTAAATGCCAGTGATAAGCACATCAGATAGGCATACAACTGCCAAGTTAAAAGAAGAAAGGAGCTGGGCATGGTGGCGCACACCTTTAATCCCAGCAGAGGCCATCCTGGTCGCCATAGCAAATCCAGGCCAGCTGGGGCTACAGGGAGACCCTGTCTCAAAAAGACCAAAAAAAAAAAAAGGACCCAGGAGCCAGGTGCGGTGGTGTACGCCCAATCCCAGCATTCAGGAGGCAGAGTGAATCTCTGAGTTTGAGGCCATCTTGGTCTATGTAGCAAGTACCAGGCCAGTCAGGGCTACATAGTGAGACCCTGTCTCACAAAAACAAAACAAAACAAAAAGAGGAGGAGGAGGAGGAAGAAGAAGAGAAAAAGGAGAAGGAAGAGGGGAAGAGGGAGGGAGAGGAGAGGAGAGAGGAGGCATAGGGCATATTACTGTCTAGCCTCTGAAGGGCTTTGAAGGAGTCAAAAGAGGTACAGGAAAGAAGCAATGAATATGAACCAAGGAGGGGGACCGTTATGTCACAGGCTGCTGATCTGTAAGTGATGAATACTATGAGGTGAGTTACCTGACCATTTCTGTAGAAATATGCGCACATTCAATTTGCCATTAAGCTACGATATTGAAGCTTATTCTACTATGGATAGGCTAGTAGCTGCAAGAGGGCAGAAAGCAATGGGAGTCAGCGGGGTGGTCCTGTGACTGCTCAGAACCTTGGGTACATCAGCCACAAGAATAACTGTTTCTCTTATTACTTTTTGTCCTTTAAGGTCTACCTAGGCCAGAATTAAAGTATGTTTACATACAAAAATGGGTTCCCTCTCTACTTGAAAAAGATTTTTTAAGATGGATGTGTCTCTATAGCATACCTACCATTCAGGAAGACGAGAAACACATTTGGGTAAGAGAGTTCTTCCCCACATAATAGATTCACATCTTCTACTCCCAAGTTACCAGCTAGCTTAACAATGGGTCCATCTTCCATGTCAGTTGTGATGTGTGTCATAAGGGCCAAGTTTTTAACCAAACCACAGGCCTAAAACAAACAAACAAACAAAAACAATTGTTTCTAAGAATAAACATTAGTATTACAAAGTATAATTTGTACCTGAAAATAGTAGGCCAATTTGCTGGTGGCAATATACAGCAGTATAAAAGGAACACTTCGGCAATTCAAACATACACACACCTCGAACAAAAAACCCCACCTTTAAAATGTATATTTACTTTAACCTAGAGGAATTTGTCCTCAGATAACAAGAAAGGATGTAAAATAAATTTAGCCATAAAAGTTGGCTGAAACAATCTCTGGGAAATTTGGTGTTTCAAAGTTCAAGATGTACATGTTCTCAGGAGAGTAGTATCTGTAACGCTAAATGACTAAATAAATGCTCAACAAAAAGAAACCCTATAAAGAGTTACCACCACACAATGGAACACCAGTCACTCTGATGACAACAGACCATCCCAGTAAAGGAAAACAATAAATGTTGTTCCCTAAAAACAAAACTACTGATTGGAAATGAGACATTCTCCATAAATAGCTAGCCTGCTCAAGTTTCTTGGTCATAAAAAGCAAAAAACAAAGAAAGAATTTAGGATTCTTCTAGACCAAGATAGACAGTGGTGACATGGTGACTGAACTGATGCGAGACTTGGCCAATGACAGGACCCACAGAGCCTACGGACTGTGACATTACTATCAATGCTAATTTCTCAAGGCTGGTAACTGCTATAGTGATGTAAGGTGTTCATATTGAGGAATTCAGGTGAGTAATAATAAAAAATCTTTGTACTGTTTTTGTTGCTTTTTTGCATGTCTGAAATTATTTCACAATGAAAAAAATTAAATACTTTGAAGAAGCAAATATAAATAATATCAATAAGGATGGAATATAGCAAATAGAAAAAAACACTTCCAACATATGTGATAAATCAGGATTATAACTTCAATTCTTAAAAACCATCTCCTAAGGTAGCTAGATGAAGTTAAGTAAAGCAATCTCTGAGAAATTTAAGTATTTCAAAATTCAAGATGTACAAATTATGAACATTGGAAAAAGTACATAAATTTAATATATAAATTTCCATACAGTTTAAGATAAATTAGAATAATTTCTAAAAACCATAAGCCTGTTAGGACTCCTAATTTTCAACTCCTTCAAGTCATAACAAATTCCTACACTTTGATGAGAGCTGGAGAGATGGCTCAGGGGCTGAGAGTGCCTTCTACTCTTCTGAGGACCTGGGTTTGGCTCCCAGGACCCACACCATAGCTTACAGCCACCTGTGGCTTCAGTTCCAGGGGATCCAACACCCTCTTCTGGCCTCCACAGGCACCCACACATATGTGGCACACACACACACACACACACACACACACACACAAACACACACATTAAAACAAAAAAAATTTTTAATTCTTATACTTTGAAACCTACAAATTTCACTTGTAATAAACACGCATATTCATTCACTGAGCATCTATTTTCGGGGCCTCTAGTCTAGGAGCCTCAAGACACAACTGTCACCCATCTTCCCTCTATTAATTTATGTCTCAGAAGGAAAAGAATCAAGTGACATTAACTTGGTATCAATGGTATCATGAAAGAGAAAATGCCAGCGCTGCAGAGAGGAGTCAGCAGTTAAAAATACTTGTTGCCCTTGCAGAGTACCCAGCAACAGCATCAGGCAGCTTACAACTACCTGTAACTCCAGTTCCAGGGGATACAACTCCTTCTTCTGGCCTCTGCTGGCACCTGCACACATGTGATATACATACATACACTCAGGCAAACACGCATATGCATTAAAAAAAAAACTAAAAAAAAAAAAAAAAAAAGAGAGAGCAAGAGCCACGGAACAGGATGTAGTGGGTATGGAAATAAATCTAGGAAAACCCGTTGGTTTAGTGTTCAGGCAATGACTAATAAGACAAAATTACTTTAGATACTGGACTGCATGCTTCATGTTATCTACAACTGTCTATGGGGTCCACTAAGCACCCTTAAAGAAAACAAAGAGCCAAAGATATCCTTGTGAGCATCTGTGCTGGATAGCTTTAGTGTCAACTTGACACACCTGGGTTGAGGGAGCCTCAATTGGGGAATTGCCTCTATTGGACTGGCCTGTGGCCGTGTCTGAGGGGCATCTTCTTGATGAGTGATGTGGGAGGGCCCAGCCCACTGTGGGTGGTGCCACCCCTGGGCAGGTGGGCCTGTGTAGCATAAGAAAGCAGGCTGAGCAGGGGCCAGGGGAGCAAGCCAGTAAGCAGGGTTCCTCCATGGCCTGTGCTCCAGCTCCTGCCTCCAGGTTCCTGCCCTGAGTTCCTACCTTGGGCTCCTGGATGAACTGTGACCTGGGATGTGTAAGATAAGTAAACCCTTTCCCCTCCAAGTTGGTAGTGGTCAGAGTATTTTGTCACAGCAATGAAGAAACAAACCAGAACAGCATCAGTTGTCCACATTCTAATTACCTCTTCATTGCATGGTTTGCTTCTTGGTGTAAAATAAGAAAAATGTTGACTGAATATCTCTAGGTAAGACACTGACTCAAATGCTTCTGGCTTTGGAATGACAGTGATACAGATTTGACAAGTTACATTAGTATTTCTTGCCAAGTGAGTATTTAACAGAAACAGAAGAAATGGGCTAGAGCATGGGAGAAGAAACAGACCCCTAGACCCCTACCCTAAGTGGCATGATCTCTGACCCCACAGAGACTCTCCCCTGTGCCTTACCTCTCCTTCAGGTGTGTCAGAGGGGCAGAGCATTCCCCACTGAGATGGCTGGAGGGAACGAGGACCACTCACTTTTCTTGTTTTTTCAAACTGAGAAGAGATTCTGGTCATCATCCCCAGTGCAGATATGTATGATAACCGAGATAGTACCTGGGTCACGCCCTGGCGGTCCATTTTAAATCTCTTCAGAGACCAATTTCCCTGCAAAGAGATGAAAGGCATAAGACTACTCCGAGCCCTCTCAGACACTGTCCCATACCTTGTACTCACTGAGAAGTGTATCACAGCATTTGCCTGCTTAGGAAATTATAGCCATGATATAATTGCAGAAATCAAAAGGTTAAAATTAAAATAAAAACTCACCAGGTCATTTGCTGGGACTTTCTAATAGAATGGAGCTAAACTACATCTAGCAACCAACTCCAAACGTTTATTACATCAGAGCAGAACACACTAAGCTGGCTCAACCAGAAACTTCCACCAGAGTAACAGATGAAGGAGTAAGACACCAGCAGTCTTTATACACCCATAAGTAAAACCAATGTGAAACTCAAAGGGATAATCGCATACTAGGTTATATTATTTAGATGACTTCCACAGTTAGCCTTAATAGAGGCAAATACAAGAAGAGAAAAATGATTTATAGTAATTATTAGAGATAATAAACTGTAGGTTTCTTAATCTAGGCATAAAGAATATAAAAACTGTGTATTAAAATATATTATTTTTATTTCATTTGTATGAGTCTATTGCCTGCATGCATGTAAGTGCATCTGTGTCATGCAATGCCCACATCAGATCCCTTGGAACTGGAGTTGGGGATGGTTGTTAGCTGCCCCGTGGGTGCTGGGATCAAACCCAGGCCCTAGGCATGAGCAACCAGTGCTCTTAACTGCCAAGCCATCTCTGTAGCCACCCCCAAATTCATATTTTAAACAATTTTTTTCCCAAGTATTGGGGATCAAACCCAAGGCTCTGTGAATGCCAAGAGATGCTCTACCACTGAGCAACACCTTTGTCCTTACAAATTGTGTATTAATATTTAGAAATACTACGTGGTCATATCAAGAAATAGCTTCATATCAATATTTAAATAGATTTACGTCATGAGTATAAAGATGCTATGATGATGACATTTATTACTTTGTATGCTAACCTGAAATACTAGAAAAATAAAAGGATTTATGCAAATAAAAAATTTTATGCATTTACAAATAAAAATAATTTATTGCCTATGTACTAAAATATCAGTTATATTAAATATAACATTGTATAATAGTTGTACACACTAAAATATTTTCTAAAATATAAATTTATGGTCACAAGTTAACTGTAGAAAACAATACGCATCAAAAAAGCAAATAAAGGGCTGGAGATATGGCTCAGTGGTTAGGAACACTGGCTACTCTTGTAGAGAACCTGGGTTCAAGTCCCACCACCCATATGGTGGCTAACAACCATCCATAACTTCAGTTCCAGGGGATCCAACACCCTCTTCTGACCTCCATGGGCACTGTATGACATTGGTTGCACTTAAGTACATGCAGGCAAAACACACACATAAAATCAAAACAAATAAAAATAAAAAAATAAATAAGAGACTGGTGACATGGCTCAGTGGTTAAGAGCACTGGCTGTTGTTGCAGAGGACCTGGCTTGGGTTCTCAGCCCATATGGTAGCTAACAACTATCCGTAATTCCGTAATTCCAGTACCAGGGGATCTGACACCCTCTTCTGACCTCCGTGGGCACTGCATGACATGGGTGCACTTACACTGCAATACAGTGATACACATTTAAAAAAATAAATATATTTTTTAAAAGATTAACCATCCTGTTAAAAATAAATAAACTTTTTTTTTTTTTTTTTAAATGAGACAGGGTCTCCTTGTAGCCCCAGCTGGCTTGGAACTTTCTATGTAGACCAGGCTAGCCTTGAACTCACAGAGATTTGCCTGCCTCTGCCTCCCGAGTGCTGGGATTAAAGGTGTGAAGCACCACACCCAGCTATGAATTAACTTTTGAAACTCACAAAACAGCAACAAAAAAAGCAGCTGATTTAGTCAGGCATGGTAGCACACACCTTTAATCCCAGTACTCAAGAGGCAGAGGTAGGTGGATCTCTGTGAGGCCAGCCTGGTCTACTTAGTGAGTTCCAGGCCACCCAGGGCTACATAGTGAGACCTTGGCTGAAACAAAACAAAACCATCTTCAGGATTTCAGAGAAAATCAGTACCTATAGGGTTCTTCCCTTCCCTTCTAAGAACCAATGAAAGCCATGAACGAAGTTCCTTAAGACAAATGTACAGAAGATGAAAAACAAAATTTTTAATTCAATTTCAGGAGAGTACTTGTATGTCCCAGCTTTAAAAAATCTTGTAATAAGAAAATTATTGTGGTTTTAGAAAATTAAGTAATCTATTTATATTAAAATATGTGACTTCAGGGAAACTCTCATGAATCAAACTTTTACCTTTGTTAAAGTAAAATCTATCTCTTAGAAGCCTTTAGTTTTTGATAAGGTGGATAAGTGCTAAGTTCTAGGCAGAAATCTCTAACTTTTACAAAGCAAAGCACGGCAAACATACATACCCACAAAGTAACGTCTTGCTCAGCTGGCTCCTTTTACCCTTGGAATGAGACTTGTGTTCAGAGAGTAAGAATAAATAAGGTAAACAAATATTCAGCACAGAGCTAAAATAAGGCAGCAGCTGCTGGCGAACAGGAAATAGGTGGGGAGAGAAGCCAAGATGTCCAGCAAGAGAATTTGTTCTAGTATTCTACAGAGTGGAAAAAAGGGAGGCAGGAGAAATAGACAAGGAGCTGAAAACTGCTCCACGGAAAAACGAATTTGGTGAAAGCCTTCTGCTAAGTGGGAAAACTCGTGCAGTTGTAAAAGTTTATCTTTTCTGATCACCTCAGATTGGAACACACCTGCCACAAGGCGTAGTGCTCATTTTTTAATCAACAGCTCTGTCACAAGACAAAGCAGCACCCCGGGATGGAAAAGAACAATGCTGAGTTCTTGTGACCTGAAAAGCAGATCAAGAAGGAAAAGTGATTCTAAGAGAAGCTTGTTCAGACACTCGGGCTTTTCTTCAGACATTCAGGGATCTACCTGCAGCATTTGGACCACATGAGGTTAATGTGACTGAAGGTACAGAAGCAGGCCGCATGCACTGTAGTTGTAGCAGGACCCACTATAAATCTCTGAAGTCAAGCACTGAAGGAGTCTACACTATTCTTTCATTGCTATGGGAATCAGCATGTTGGGCCACACTATTCTTTGTTGGGGCAAGATCCCATCCATAAAACTAATTGTATGTCTGGCACATCAAACGTGGACCAGACCTGATCAGATAGACCTATAGTTGCTATGCTTTAAGAAAGGGAGCAAATACCTATCTGATAACCTTTCATGAATAGCCTGAGGCCTGAATACACAGCAGCTGCTGAGGACTACATTCAAGGCTCAGAAAGGAACAGCTGATAGGTCTTTGAAGAATATAAACCTACTGTGAAATAAAGCACTTTTGTATGCTATGGGACAAAAGCTGCCAACTAATAGACCTGCCTGAAATATGTCAGTTTTATTACAGGAAGAAAATGGAGGAAAACATCCATTAGCAGAATGGCTATTCATAGCTAAACGAAGATCTCTCCCCTCTGTAAGTGTACTTTCATATTGCTACATCTAGCAGGAAATATAATTTAGCAATGATGTCATCATATGGTAGTCCTTCCTACTCTACAGACATGTTCCAATACCCCAGTGATGCTTGAAACTGCAGAAAGCACAGAACCCTGGAATCCTATGTTTTTTTCTACACACCTATGATAATTTAATTTATAATTAAGCACAGTAGGAGCTTAATAGCAATAACTAATAAGAAATAAGGAAATCATCATACAATATGAAAGTTTTTTTTAATTTATGAATTACTTCTAAAATTTTCCATTTAATGTTTTCAGACTATAGTGCACCACAACTAAGTGATTCTATACTTGATCTCAGCTGAAAGGCTGAGAGGAGATGGCTAAATAAAACTGTGGCTAAGGGGGACTTATTATATTAATAAAATTTCTACTGAGAACACTTAAACTTTACACTATCTTCCAAAGAAGAAAATCTGTGATTTGTATACATTCCTTTAATATGAATGTATTCTATATGCTGTATTTATATCTATAGAGGTTAAGGGATTCCTAGTCATTTACATTTCTATTCTACCAAACAAATTTACACATAAACTACTGAAGACTCACAGTGGAGATGGCATTCACCATGCCATTGGTGATCTGGTCTTGACGCATGTGTTTCACAACATCAAACTGGGCCGCTCTTTGTTTAGGAATCACCTGGTCTGCAATCTTCTTCATTTCCGAATTAAATTTTTTGAACAAATCTTCAAAAAGAAGAGATAAGAGCTAGAAAAAGAAACAAAGGAAGTAGACAATGATTAAGCTTGGGCCTTGAGTAAAGCTTTGTTAAAAAAGACACAGGAACTTTTGGGGCTGGAGAGATGGCTCAGTGGTTAAGAACACTGTTTTTGCAGAAGACCCAGGTTCGCATCCCAGCACCCACATGGCAGCTAACAACTATCTGTAACTCCAGTTCCAGGGGATCCAACAGCCTCTTCTGTCGTCTGCGGGCATTGCACGACATGGGTGCACTTACCTACATGGAGGTAACACATGCATACACATAAAATAAAAATAATAAATAAAATATTAAAAAAGCCAGGAACTTTAAAACTGTATTTTAAAAAGTTAAATTTATAGAACTTCCTGTGCAGGTATTTTGAATGAGAACAGAGACCCAGCAATCAGAAACATTAATTTAGACCACTCACTCCCAGATTTTTAGGTTTCACTGACCAATGGACTAATTTCAATTTTACAAAGACACTGAAACCAAAACAGTCTGAAGACACTGAAGACAGGATGCTAGCTGAACATGCCTGTACCACTGTAAACCGACACAAGCACTTAGAAGCTACCCCAGCAGTTCTTCTCCTTGGCAATCCTCCACACAGTGGCTCTCACACATTGGCAGGTACAGTAAGTCAATACCCAAATTGCCCAAGCTTCTGATTCAATAGATCTAAGGGAAGGGTCATTAATTTACATTGCTAACAAGTTTCCAGGAGAGGCCAGAGTTGCAAGTGGTGGGGTGCTTTGAAAAATTGGTGTTCTACTGAAATCTGCATTCTGCTATATCAGGATGGTATTTATATTAGCTAAAAACTGTAAACTAAACAAACAGAACTTAAACTGGTATACTCACACAATAGAACACTAACAATGAAAATGAATGAAAACTAACCAGAATATCACAGTTAGGTCTGAAAAAGAAGGCACTGTGTGAAAGAAATCAGACAAAAGGTTATGTATTTTCCTCTTAAATGAGATTCAAAATCTACAACAACATTGTTTAGGAAGGCACAAGTAAGTGGTAAACACGGACAGGAATACTATGAAAGAAGAAATGGATCAAAATCATAAGGACAACTTTAAGGTCAACTGTGGACTACCATAATAGTGTAAAGTTTTTCAGTGCCCTTAACACAAAGTCCACACTTGCAAGTTTTGTGCCCCATGCCCCACCCCTCATCCCCATGGATGCTCTCAAAAGACTGGTATGTAAGACAGAAACCTAGGAAAGACACCGTTGTTGGAACAAAAGCCACCGAACTCTACTTTCACGGATTTTCTTGCATATGAAGCAAAACCACTAAGCAGCTAGAGAAAGAACACTCTTGCCTAGCAAAGACTAGGCAGTGGCAAGAGAGTTACCTGCACTCAGACAGAAGCTGCCTGCCACCTGCCGATGGGGATGGAGGAGGAAAACTCCCTTGTTCCCTCCACAAGCCTTGCACCTAGGAGTAAGAAACAGCAAGCTACCACTGGAGGAGGCCCAGCAGACCCTCTGTCACTAATTTCAATAAAAGGTACAATGCCAGAGGGATGAGGTCAACCTCCAAAACATCTTCCCTTGGGGGAGGAGCAGGAAACCTGTCAGGGCCAAGGATCACTGCACTACTACACAGCAGGCGCCTGAGCCCACAGGGAAGGGGCAGCAACTGGAGCTTTCCTTTACAAAACTGGGACAAGGGGAGAAAACCCATTCTTACCATTCCTATTCAATACTGCAGTGGAGGTGGCATTCGGTTCAATGGGGCAAGGAAAAAAGGGTATCAGGGATGGAAAAGAAGCTGTAACGTCTGTCCACACAGAAAATCACAAGGGCTGGAAAAACTGTATTAGAAGCAAGAAGTACATTTAGCAAGTTTGAAAGATACAAGGCCAATAAACAAAGAACAACTGTATTTATAACATTAGAGAAAAAAATGAAATTTTCAATAGGAGAGATGTATCACAGTCATAGATTAGATGACCACAGGTTATTTAGAAGCCTATTCTCTCCAAATAGGCCTATAGTTTCAAATGCAAGCTCAATCAAAAGCTAGGACTCATTTACTTCCTCAGTTGTAAGAGAGAGAGAAAAAAGAGGAGCTCATTCTAAAATTTAAATAAAAATGTTAAAATCCTGTTTATCATGGGCTCAAAAAGAAACTAGCAACTTTCACTATCTCTGAAGGAAACTGGAGAACTAAATCATTGTTCTGAACATTCATATTTTTTGTTCTTTAATAAATTTTGTTGGTTTGCTTTGTTTTTGAGAAAAGGGTCTCTGTAGGCTCAGCTGACCTGGAACTTGTGAAGGTAGATCAGGCTGGCCTCAATCTCACAGAGATCCACCTGCCCCTGCCTCCCAAGTGCTGGGATTAAACCCAGCCAGAGTTCCTCTCCCCAGCCCCCCAAAAAAACCACAGTCATGTAAGAAATGCAAATTAGGGCCAAAGGAGATGTGACTCTGAACTGATGAGATAGATAAAATTTAAAAGCCCAGTTCAGGGCTAGAGAGATGGCTCAATGATTAAGAACACTGACTCCTCCTGCAGAAGACCTGGGTTAGAATCCCAGCATCCACATGGTAGCTAACAACTGTCTGTAACTCCAGTTCCAGAGGATCCAACAGCCTCTTCGTTGTCTGCGGGCATTGCACAACACAGGTGCACTCACCTACATGCAGGCAATACACAGACACACACACACACAAAATAAAAATAATAAATAAACTATTTTAAAAGTCTAATTCTAAGTCACGGATGGAGAACATCAAAATTTGTCTGCAGTGCAATGCATGAACACCAGGGAAAGTGCACTCTCCAGTTAAACTTAATATGTAACTTAACTCTAGGATTAGGCACTCCTCCTTGTATGAATATTTACGTACGGAAACCAGGAAATATAAAGAATAAAGAGTAGAGTTACTGTAAAGAAGGAAACCATATGAATGAAGCTCTTGACTGGTAGACTGGGTTTATATTACCTTATACCTATACACAATGTAATATAATACTGAAATAAAAATGAATTATGGTGAGCTACAACAATACTGTTGAATCCTAACAGCAACTTGAGTGATGAAAAAAGTTGCAGAAAAACTATGATATGAATTTACTTTTATAAAGGTCAAAAGGAAGCAAAACATAATAAACAGTTAAAAAGGAGGGTCAACACAGAGGAGCCATTTCCTCCATGCTTCCAAGTGAAGCCAACCATGGTCGAGCAGGACCTTTGACTTATCTTCACACAGGTGGAACTGGTAAAAGAAAGGAGCCAGGGGCTCCTCCCAAGCCCATGTGATCCCTGAGGAACAGATCCTCAAACAACCTTAAG